AGGCCGGGCAGAGACTGCGGGCAGCGCCTCCGGAGGCTGCGGGGAGGCTCGTCCCGGCGCCAGAAGCCCCCGCCCGGCCCGGCCGCACCTCGGGAAGGTGAAAGATACATTGTATGCACAGCTACATACAATGTATGCACACATGTATATACAATGTATGCAAAGATTCACGTACATCGTATAAGATATATAAAACAAAGAGCAAAAAAGTTTTGCACAGTCCCGCAGCGCGGATTGAAGAGCCCCGCCCGGCCCGGGCTGCAGACAGCCCTCCCCGGCCCGGCCCGGCCCGGCCCCGCTGCACGTGATTGCCGGGAAGTGCCTGCCTCTGCCTCTGCCTCCTAGTTTCACTTTCCGAGCCCGAGCCGCACAGCCATGGCCATGCTGGCGGGGGTGGGGGGCGGGGCGACCCGCCCCCTGCCTCTTCGAGAGCCCCGTGACCACCCCGTGCGGCCACAACTTCTGCGCCGCCTGCCTGGACATCACCTGGGCCGGCCTGCGGGACACGTTCAGCTGCCCGCAGTGCCGCTGCCCCTTCGCCTCCAAGCCCGAGCTGCGCAAGAACACGGTGCTGTGCCGGGTGGTGGAGCAGCTGCAGGTGGGCACCGATGCCCCCGAGGGTGGCGAGCCCGAGGGCAAGAAGGGCTGGGAGCCGGAGGGCAAGAAGGGCGGCGAGCTGGGCCCCTCGCAGGTGGCTTGCGACAGCTGCCCGGAGGCGGTGGCCGCTGTTCAGACCTGCCTCACCTGCATTCCCTCCTTCTGCGCCGAGCACCTGCGCCCGCACCACGACAGCCTGGCCTTCCGCGTGCATGAGCTGAGCGCCCCGGTGCGTGACCTGCAGCAGAAGCTGTGCCGGGACCACCACAAGCTGCTGGACTTCTACTGCCCCGAGCACCAGAGCTGCATCTGCTGCATCTGCCTGGTGGGCCACAAGGCCTGTTCAGCCAGCTCCCTGCCCGAGGCCAAAGCGCAGAAGGAGGTGAGCGGGTGCATGGCGGTGCGTGTGCATATTGGGGATGAGGACCCCGGGGAGCAGTCAGCAGCCTACCAAATCCAGGAGGATCCCTCCCTCCGCTTGTGGATGGGGCTCGAGGGAACTTAAAGAGTGCAGGCCTCGAGCCCCTGGTCTGGCTGCAGAAGTTGCAGGTCTTTCCTCTCAGCTGGGGGAAGAGCAGGCTGCAGGCTGGGAATCCTCTCCTTCCCTGCTTTGTAGACAGGACACTTCACCTGGGAGCAGGCTGCTGCTTGGTTGAGGCTGCTGTGCCCTTGGGAAGAGGTGTTGGCAGCCAGCAGTCATCCATTTTGGGGCTGGGCTCGCTGAGCCGTTACTTGATATTCACCCTTTTCCCCCCCGTATCCCTTGTGCCCTTCCCAAGATCATAAAATTGCCCTAAGAAGCAGAGAGGAGCCTTTGGAGACTGGGGCTGGGGCAGCTTGGGAAACACAGGCTCCCCGGGGGCCACAGGAAGGGTGGGCAGGGTTAGAGGAGGACCCAGGTATGCCACACCACAGTGGCTGCACCATCTCTGCTGCCCTTTGGAAGTGCTTTTTACACCCAGGGCAGGAGCGTAGAAGCAGTCTTGGGTGCTCAGACTGCTGCCTCCCCGGTCAAAGTCCTGCTTTGCCCAGGTGCGTGCACTGAGTGGGGACACAAATAGATCTGCAGCTGCCATGGCTGTTGGCTCTGAGCTCCGCCACATCTGGCTGCCCCAGGCACGGTGTCTCAGCTGGGGACAGCGCTTGAACGCACATGTCCAGGACCATCGCGAGATGGCGGCACCGCTCTGCCCTGTCCCTTGCCCTCCAGCAGCAAGCTCGGTTCTCAAAAGGTGCTGAGCACCCAATGGTCCCTGCTGAATCAGAAGCATTTGGGACCACACAAACCAGGCTGTGTATCTGAATCTAGAGGTGCACTGATGTTCAAAGATGCTGTGGGAAGAAGCGGAGATCAGAAAGATGTCTCAACCCACATAATTAGGAGAGAACAAGTTGGGGCTGGAGGCGAGGGTGCAAGGGGAAGAATGGGTGGAAGTCGCAGCAGTTGGGGGCATGAACGGCTGGTGCATCCGGTGCTGGGTATTGCCCTGTTAGAGGAGGGCCCTGCCCTATGACTCCTTTGCATGCTCTTGGCTACGTCCCTGGTGTGCTTTAACCCCACAAGCCCACACAGGTCCAGACTTGGGTGGAACCACTCAAGGACTTCAATCTGACATGCAGCTTTAGGCATCCCAGCCTGACAGCTAACGGCTTCCATTTGTATTTTGGTAATCACTGGAGACTAGCAGTTGAATCCTGTGCTTTGTCAGCAAAGTGGCAACTCTTGCGACTCATTGAATCCCAGCAAGGCCTGCTGGAAGGGTGGGCAGGAGCATGAACCTGCAGGAGACAACACAACTTTGTCCCCCAAGCACTAGCCCTGCTTGTAGCTAGCTCCTTCCCAGTGGCAGGCCTCTGGGTCTGCCTATACAGAAGAGAGCTTTTGCCAAAGTCTTCCTTAAGACGTGGGGAGTTCAGGAGCTGCCTGGCAGGGCTGTACAAAATTTCACCGGCAGTTTCTTCTCGACCTCGAAATGGAGAGCTTCGAAACAGCTTCAAAATGAAATGAGGCAAGTCAAAACATTTTGAGTTTCGAAGCTCAAGCTGGGCTTGCCTGCAGGGAAACAGAAACTAAAGTAAGGAGAGGGAGGGGGAAGCGGAGATAAGGAGTGCTCTCATTATTGACTGTGCAACTGGCCAGGACTTTGGGATTGGAAGGGATCTCAGGACAGGATCGGTGCTCTGGGGGAGGGATGGGAAAAAAAAAAAAATAGCATAAAAAAAAAGGCAGCGTTGTTTGAAGTGCCCTGCTTTCTGCATTGGTGTCAGTTGAGTGAGGGCACACCTTAACACGTACCCCACTCCCACCCATGTCACAAGTTTTGCCTGTCAGCAGCCAGAAGTGCAGGGCTCCTGGGTTCTGGGGCCCTGCACCTATCTCCTTGACAGCTGGCAGGCTTCGTGGCCGCAGCAGGGGCCACCATCCCTGCAGCTGTCACCCCGCTGTGCCTTAGCGCACACAGTGTCACCCATGTCACGAGTTTTGCTTGTCCACAGCTTGAGGTGCCGTTCCGCTGCACCTAGCTCCTTGAAACTTGGCAGGCTTCATGCCCCCAGAACGGGCTACCATTCCTGCAAGTTTCATCCAAATCAAGCCAGAAATGACAAAAATTATAGGCTGTTTCGAGCTCCCCCATTACAGCCTATGGGCGGAACTTTGAAACAGCAAAACCGTTCTGACGAATTGAAATGAAACAGAACAGCAGTTTTGAATCTAAATGAAATGCACTGGTGCTGCTTTGCACAGCCCTACTGCCTGGTTTATTAAGGGCCCAATCCTACCCTGGCTGGATTGTTCTTCATGTTTACAAGGTAAAACCAAAGCAAAGCAGGGCAGAGTCTCTTAGCAATGTACTGGGGAGAACTCGAGCCGAAGTCAGGAAGCATTCCGGAGCCCAGATAGGAGCCCGTTTTTCAGGGTCGAGGACATACTGACCGTGGTATTTCCTTGCTACCCACAAGATAAACTAAAATAATGGGAAGGCTCATTCTTAAGTCAGGAAGGGCCAAGAAGGCCGCAGTGCTAAGGGCGATCTTGTAGAGTTTCTTGGTTGGCTCCTTTAACAGACATGGGACTGGGCACACATCACTGCTTAGACAGCATAGAGCTGTTGCTTACCTTCCCCAGCCATGGACCTAGGATCCTCTTCTTTCCCTGTAAAGAACCACTGCTGGGTTTAAAAGAACTGTATTTTCAAAGATGAATTCCTGCAACATGAAAAGCTTACAATTCAACCCAACATTTTCTGTAAATCTGCTCTGCTGTTTCATTGGGAAGAGGAGTGGCTCTTCCTGGCTTTCAATGGAGATCGGATGTGTTTTGTTGCAGTTGCAACTGAAGAAGAGGCTGACAGAGCTGAGAAATCAGAATGACAAAGCTTCTATGGCAATGAACGAAATAAAGATACGGGAGAGAAAAGTCACTGTAAGTGGGGAATGTTGTTCTGGCCCTTGGGAGCATATTGGTTGCAGGGCGGGGGACTGGTTTCTTGTGCTTAATTTAAGGCAGGCTGTTTGAACGTTCAGATTACAGCTTCTCAAGAGAATGCACGCAAGCATTGTATTTGGGCAGGATCAGGCAGAAGCTGCGACTGACTGACAATGCTAAACTAGCAGTCACACCAGACCCTACAGCCTTCAGCACAAGAAAAGCAGAGCCTGTAAAGCTGCAATGAAAAGATAAAGGCCCAGATCCACAAAGCTGTACGAAGGCACCTTAACTCCTCTCGAAAAAATCAAGGGGAGTTCCATACCTAAATGTCCCTGTGCCTCCAGCATTAACTAATGAAATTCCCCCATTAGACATTGCTATAAATTCATTTTAAGAGGGACAAGGACAAACGTGGAGGTTTTGACACATAACCCTAGCCTCTCATGGCTTGCAGTGCTTGTTCCCACTGCCAGGTGACACAAGCTGCCTGTTTCATACCCCTTGGGACCCTTCGCCCTCCCCAAATGTACTGAGACATGACTTTGGGGGCCCATTAAAGGGAACAGGAGACTTGCCTTTGACTTGAGTATAGAGGTATAGGGTTCCTACCCGAGTGCCAGTTCAGGGAAATGCAATCAGCCATCACATTTTGCAGAGCCCAGGGCTTTATACCCCTTTGCACCCTGGGAAGTGTCCTACCTACATGCAGTCCCCTTGAAACCCACATCCTTGTGGTTGGTTTTTAGGAAGCAGCTGCCCATAACAAGGATTTGCTGAGAAATGAGTTCTTGGAAGTAAAAGTTTTAATTGAAGAACAAGAAAGCCAGTCAGTAAAGAAGCTTGAAGAGGAGGAGAAGAGAGTCCGTGATAAGTTTGATTACATCCATAAGGTTCTGGGAAAGAAGAAAAGTGAAATTCAGTCCCTCAAAGACAAGCTCGAGAATACACTGGCTGTAAGTGATGACATCGCATTCCTAGAGGTAAGGCCTGCTGATCAAGAACATACAGCCCTAAAAGAAGCCACTACAGGAATCCTGCCCATACTACCTTGGTGTAGATATATGACCACAAAAATCTATAATTTTTGAGAAAATTATCCTAGCGCACATCTGCGAGGGACCAGCAGGGGAGACTGTGCTTAGGGGCAACCAACATGGGTTCATTAGAGGCAGGTCCTGTCAGACCAACCTGGTGGTCTTCTACGACCAGGTCACCAAATCCTTAGACGCAGGTGTCACGGTGGATATAGTCTTTCTGGACTTTAGGAAGGCCTTCGACACCATCTCTCACCCCATTCTCATTAAAAAACTAGGGGACTGTGGTGTCGACACCTACACAGTCAGATGGGTAACTAGTTGGCTGGAGGGCCGCACCCAGAGAGTAGTGGTAGACGGGTCCTATTCGACCTGGAGGGATGTGGGCAGGATGAACACCTTGCCTGGGGTCATTTGACCCCCATACTCTTTCCTGCCATGGCAGAGGGTCAGACTTGAAGATTTGCTCAGGTCCCTTCCAACCTGACCAACTATGGAACTATACTTTTATAAGATGCATAGGCTTAAGTTGATTGTTTGACAAGCACTCTGGGCAGTGGAATTATTTCCCCACTCAATTAGTATTTGGAATTAGATGCTCCCTTTACTGAGCACATCCATTTCAGACTCTTTATAGGCAAGTTATCTTCCAAATATTTAATTTTCCCCCTCACCCATAGCAGTATTCTCCTGCCACAGAATTAGTCACGTAAAGAAGACTTGTCCCATAATTTACAGACACTAGCTTAAATCTTTAGATGTCCCTTGGAAAGCAATTCATATAGGCTGCTATTACTTCTTGTTATGAATGGGTAATGTCTGAATATATAGCCTCTCTTCCTCACCTCCCACTGAACATGCATGTAATAATGCAAAAGTAAAATAACTGGAGTCAGTTACTGTTTCAGAGTAGAGTTTTATTACAGAAGAAGCTTACCTCAATGCCTTCATGAGATCTTCTATTTTGTATTTCAGAAAGCAGCTAAATTGCAACTACCCCCAACAAAAGATGTATTCGTCCCCAGAATTGACCTAGATTCAAATGTAATGCATTCTGTCTACCAAAGTGCCACTTTGCTTAAAGAAACCCTGAAAAAGTCAGTGTCTCAGCCTGAGGAGCAGAGAATGGAAGGTAGCGTGCCGATATTAAATGGATTTCTCATTTAGCGGTTCCATGTTGCAAAGTCAACTCTGCTGAATAGGACAAACCTCTCTCATAAAATTGTTTGTCTCCATTAGTAAAGAGTCAACTTGGTTGCACTCTGACAGGGTGCGAGACGTTTCACACCCTGGTCCACAGCCAAAGGTTAAGCCTACTGACTCACCTTACTAGCCAATCTAGGTTAGGGCTCATTAGGTGTATAAGAAGACGTGATAGTCTTTCAGTAACAAAAGAAGTTCAAGAGGGAGATCTTGAGCAGATCTATACAGGAGTCACTTCCACAGCTAAAAATAAAGTTGAATCCCAGAATGGGGATGCCTTTGTACAACATTATATTGAATACAGGCAGATTTCACACAAAAACTGCCCCAGCTTTAATTAAGTGGGATAAAAATCCAGCTAGCTGAAATGGGATGGAATCCTAAAATAAGGGATTTAAAGCCAGTGGGGAAGGGGAGTTTTGGGTTGGCTTAGAAGTCTTTGATGATGCTGTGCTGTCTAGTAGCTACCAGGTGGGAGCTGTTAAGAAAGATGGGAGCATATCTGAAAAGAGCTGTGCTGACTGTCACAAATGCTTCTTACAGCAAGCGGACCACCCAGACCACTTATAGTAGAAATGAGTAAGTCTTTCATTTCTCCCCACAAGCTCTCTAATTGCAATCTTGTGCTGAAATAACTTCTCCTTTCCCTCTTTGTTTCCATTTTTATATTTGTCTATAAAATTGCATGCAAATTATTGGCCATGACACCCAGCAGTCTGGACACAACCAAGCTTTTTACTGCATCTTCTGCTGTCTTTTTTAAGGAAGATGAAAACTATGTCACGTACAGATTGAGGAGTCTGTGCACTGCCTGTATTAGCGTAGGGGCTGGAGTCCCAGCTGAGATCAGAGCTTTGTGCTAGATGCCAGAGATCCCTAGAGTGAGGGACAGTTACTGTCCAGAAGATCTTGCAATCCAGTAGAGAAAGGACGCTAGGGATGCTGTGAAGTCCACTAGTGATTTCACTATTGCCAATCTGCCTTACATATCAAGTACTCAGGCTGCCCTTGGCCTGCCAGTGTAGAGTTCTGAGAGAGACACCCTGTTTTACAGATACAGGAAGACTAAATAGTGGCAGAATCAGGCCTCTGATTTAGTCCCCTTCAGTTTAGCACCAGTAGAAATACTGCAGGAATGAGGCTTAGATAACTTTGCCTGGGTCTGTGGCATTTGAATGAAGGTCTCAACTCTTAACTGAGGTTCTGAACTGCAAAACCATCCTTCCTCACTTCTTGTCATTTGCCAATATCATTGCAGGACACCCACAGTGGAAACCCAAGCCCTTTTGTCTTGTGAATGTGCCACTAATTTCTCCAATCAAACCCATGGTACCCAGTAAAAAGCCTGTTGGAACGCGTAAGTGTAACAAACAGCATGGTCATGGACACATGAAAAACACTCGCTAGATTCTCTCCTGCACACCTAGTGTTGTAGGTCTCCTTGAGCAAAGTGGTTACTGATGTTAAGGGCTACCACCAACTTGAAAGCTGCCTTATCTGTTTTTGATCGGGGTTTTTAATATTAGTAGCATCAAAAGAACTGGAACAGAAAGATAAGAAAGCAATTTTCCCTCCCTGCTTATTCCCTACCTACCCCTCAAAAGGGCCAAGCACAATGGCTCTGAGTTACCCCCCAAAAAACCCATCCCACGCTTGGCAAGGGAGTAGGAAAAGAGATTAGGAAATATGGAAAAAAGGGAGAGGAGAAGTAAGTTCAAGGCCTTTAAGCCTTCAAGAGCAAGCTCTTAGAAACTCGAATGAACTTGATGCATGAAGTTCAAGTTGATGGTATTCCTGTAACACAGCTGTGATATGTAAATAGTCTATAGAACGGCATGGGACTACACAACCGTTGTGATAACTCGTATATAATATCTTTATGCATAAAGCAGCACATAACAGCATTACTACATGGGGCTTGTTATTGTAAATGGGCCTGTTGTTGGAAGGCACCTCTGTGATAGCTTCACATGAATCAGAAGCTAAAGAACTGAGGGTTGATGGCAAGATCACTCCCTTGGCTGCCATGCTGCTGTCTGTGTCAAGATGGTAGCAATCTCTCAACTTCATTTTTAACCCAAGCTATTTTGCTGGGGCCTGCTCCTGTGAGATACAGATTTTTTTTGACAAGGAACAAAGTAAGGCCTGGTCTACACTAGAAAGCTTTGCTGGAAGAGCTCTGGTACAAGAATGCATCTAAACAGTCCCTCACTCCTGTCGGCTGTAGCAGTCCTTCATCAGCAGTCCCACAGTGGCTTGCACTGACTGCTTGGGAGACAAGTGCTGTACTGAACAGAAGCCATCCCCAAGTCACTCTGTCTAGTTGAAAACACTCATCCCCATCAGCACGAGTCTGCGAGGGGACGGCTGCCACCGAGGAAACGCATACACCTGTTTGGAGCAGAGGGAGGGGCTGGTTCCCAGCCCAGCTGCAGACAGACGCACACAAGGAGACTGCAGGCCATAGGCACAAATGGACAAGAAGTAGTACCAGCCAAGACTAAGGTTCGCCAGCAGTCCTGACTCCAGCAACCCCAGAGAACACCCCGCCTGGACCTGCCCCTGGCATGCTCACACCCCCTTGGCAGGGACTGGACTTGCAGCCATGAGCAGGGGCCAGCACCTCCTTAAGATGAAGGAAAGTCTTTGGGGTCCCTCTCTCAGCCAGCGCCTCTCTAACCCCTCCACTTGGTTGTTTTCCCTGGTTGTTCTGCTGGTCCAGCTCAGGAATCCCCGAGGAGAGTGTTATTCTCTTGGACAAAAACATCCATGTCCCTAGGGATCACCCCGCAGAAGAGGGTTGTAGCAGTAACTCCTGTTCTGTCCCTTGTCACATCGCATCCCAGGAGCTCCTGGGTGAAAGCCCTTGTGTCCCCCACCCACGTTGTGAAGCAGAGCGAGGGTGGGCAGGGCAGCACCCAGAGGCTGGTGGTCCGTCACAGAGCCCTCGTCCCCGCGCTGCTGCTGTAAGTCTCACAGGCTCCCCACCCATCTTTCTATCAGAGCCTGGATCTCGACAGCAGCCTCGAGGCCAACGTGGATGTGGCAGCTGCAGGGTGGAGGTGTCTGTGGAGTGGCTGATAGACAGGACTGCAAGGGCAGTGGGGCAACTGGGCACTAGGAGCAGAAGTGGAAGGGCAGCCTCAGGAGAGGGAGGGAAACGTGCATGTGGGGATAGCTTCTGGTCAGGCAGCCAAGAAATGGAGACGGAGAAGATGATAAACCACCTGATCCCAGTGCTGCCTGCCCACCCTCGCCTGTGCCACAGGTGCAACTGTGACGGTGCCTAGGGGCCTCATCGCTCCTGCCTGGCTCAAACTATTGCCACTCTCCCTAGAGGACTTACCCACCACACCTTGTTCTTAAATATTATAGGTTGATTCAAGGGGGCTGCCAACAAGCCTTAGAGTGAGCCCTAATCCCAGTAAATTCCCACTGCTTCTCTCCCCAGACCCCTCTAGCCTTAATCCAGCCCTCAGGTTTAGTAACTCCTCTACCTGACTAGGTCCCTGTAGGGTACCAAGGGCCTTAAGGACAAATTGTATGGCTCCTTCACCTCCCCTGTACTGCATCCCAAGCCTCGTGGGTGTTCTCTCATTGTTTAAACACTCACCCCCTTGCACCCCTGGTCCCCATGCACGGCCCCTCCTCCGGGCTCTCAGACCCTCTGTCCAGCTTGGACCGCGCTGGGCTCATGGACCCTCTGGCCCAGCTCAACCTTCCCCTGGGCTCTTGGACCTTCTGGTTTATGTTTCAGCCTTTTCCTAGGCTCCTGGGAGCCTCACCAGGTCCACCCTCAATCTGAGGGCACCTGGGTTACCAGTGTACTAAATATGCCTCAAGCTTGCCCTAGGAGGGCTGAAGGCTAAACTACTAGTCTAACTCAAAAGACTAAGAAACAGCACTGCCTTCTGACAAGCATCTCAAGCCCTCTAGGGGCTTAACATAAATGAAGGCCACTTGCCTGTACATCCAGTCTTTCTTAGTCTAAGGAACTTACCTCCATTCCCAGGCCTGCAGAGTTGTTCAGCCAAATCCAGGTCCCTTCAGGAGCCCTGCAGCCAGGAGCTCCTCACTCCTTGGTTGCTGGGGAGAGACTACCTGACCAGTGCAGCCTGGGCTTATATAGCTCCAACCTGAGCCCTCTTCTGGTCAGGTGAGTCCCTCATTAGCTCCCCTCTGCCACCTGCAAGCAACCTCCCGGGCTGCTTGCTCTCTTGAAGGAGCATGCACATCCCAGTGCCCTGCTGCAGAACATGAGGAACACAAACACTTTTCCGGGAGCCTCCTGAGATGCGGGTACTTTCCTCACCCACAGAAAGAGCCCTTGGTGCTGCTGGAGAGGAAAATGAACTGTGACTTCATGGTCACCAACCTACTGGCTAGTCAATGCTAAGAAGCACCTGGCACTTCTTTTCTCGGGGCATTGCAAATCCCAGTGACAGCAGTTTTTAGGGTTGATTGTTTGCATTTTTATTTTTTGCCTGGTAACCTGCAGTTTGCTGTCTCTCATCTTTCTTTGACTGAATTTTAAGCACCACTCTACTGCCTGTTACCATGAATAAAAGCTTTACTTTGGAAGCCTGCCTTCAATTTGGGTATTGGTCTTTAAGCACAGGCATGGGAATGTCCTGCCCCACTGCTGCAGAAGCCACAGGCCTGTAGTCAAGGCACAGGCCCCTCGCAGCCCCCCAGAGAGCTCTGCTCATGTCTTCTGGCTGTTTATTCTACTTGCCCTTGCTCTACATTGGCTTTGGCTTCACCAATGTACAGCCCATAGCACGTACTAACAAACCACAAGGATGTTTGCTCACTAAGGTTGAGCCTTGGCAGGAAACCTTTTCAGTACCCCTCCAAGCACAGGTGCATCCTGCCCCAGTTTAGTTCAACCTTTCATTGCTGCTGTCCTGATTACCTCCATATAACTTCCTGAGCCAGAGGGCAAGATGGGTTCCACAGAATTACCCAGGCTTTAACTGTCCGTGAATGTGAATATGGCAATGGGAGAAGGAAGTCCCTACTTGCAGTTTCTGAAAGAGGCCTGTTTTGCCTGAAAACATGAATGTTGAGCATCTATCCTGATCAGCAAACATTAGTATCCATTAACTGATTTGTGTTATCTGCTCATGCCTCCGTCACTCTGGAGGTGCGTTTCTTCCATCGGTATCCTTGGAAGTTAGACTGGCGCGTGTGTATGTGTGTATACATGTGTGTGAACCAAAACTGGAACATGAGTCCCATTTATTGACTCATTGCCATTTGGGAATCCCATTGCTTAAAAATCTGTCAGTTATTTCTTCCGCATTGCCTGGCAGCTCTGTCCACCTTGTTTGCATTGGCCCCAGCTGTGGAGCTCTCTGCCTCAAGCAGCTTCCACAGCACGACTGCCGCCGGTTGCTCAGCCAGCCTCATCCATGAGTCATACTGCTCAAGATCAAGGATAAGATCATGCCTAGAGACACTGCTTTCCACACGTAAAAATTTTGCAGTCACTGCTGATCATGTCAGACCTGCAAAATGATGCAGCTCCATCAGTCTGTGTTAGCTTTCTGAGTCCAGAAGTGGCACTGAATGGTGCCCAGCTGGTGTGAGTGTGCCTCTCTCAGCTGCCAGTTTTTAACCATCTTCTGGAGTGTCTACCTATTCTCCCCATGCAATTACTCGTCTGTGGCTACTAAGCATCTCTCCTGCTTACTTCTGCTGGTCTGGAAGTGCAGACCCAAAAGAATGTCATGACTTGTTAGGAGGAAGGATTCAATCATGCCAGGCAGCCTTGTGCTATCCATGTTAAGGGCAGAGTAAGAAAGTGATGGGACCTGGAGGGTCTGTAGGAATTCAAAACTTAGCAGGCAAATGAACGGGCGAGATAATGGAGTGGAGAGGAGGACATTGTGGGAGGAAGATGCTGAGTACTCACAATGCTGTCGGAGTAGGTCATAATGATTTAATAGATTTCATAGACATTAGGGCTGGAAGGGACCACAGAAGATCATCGGGTCCAGCCCCCCACCCTAGGGGCAGGAAGTCAGCCGGGATCAAAGGATCCCAGCAAGATAGATGTCCAAATGTCTCTCAAAGGAGTCCAGAGTAGGTGCTTGCACCACTGGTGGCAGTCTGTTCCAGGCCTCGGGGGCTCGGACAGTAAAGAAGTTCTTCCTTATGTCCAGCTTGAAACGGTCTTGGAGGAGTTTGTGACCGTTGGACCTTGTCATCCCTTGGGGCGCTTTGGTGAACAGACGTTCCCCCAGATCCTGATGAGCACCCCTCATGTACTTATAGGTGGCCACCAGGTCCCCCCTGAGCCTGCCCTCCTTTTCCAGGCTGAAAAGTCCCATGGCTCTGAGCCTCTCTTCATAAGGCCTGTTCTCCTGACCTCTGATCATGCGCATGGCTCTCCTCTGCACGCTCTCAAGCTTCTCCATGTCCTTCCTGAATTGCGGAGCCCAGAATTGGACGCAGTACTCCAGCTGTGGCCTCACCAAGGCCAAGTACATCGGGAGGATGACGTCCTGAGATTTACTTGAGAAGCATCTATGGATGCAAGCCAGAGTTTGGCCTGCTTCACCAGCTGCGACATTGCATTGGTGGCTCATATTCATCTTGTGGTCAATCATGACCCCCAAGTCCCTTTCGGCCATGGTGCTAGCCAGCGTAGCACTGCCGAGCCTATAAGCGTGCTGCAGGTTTTTTCCCCAAGGTGGAGAACCTTGCATTTTTCAGTGTCGAATGCCATCAGGTTTTCATCCGCCCATTTTCTGAGCCTGTCTAGGTTGGCCTGGATCACTATCCTGTTCTCAGGTGTGGACGCTTTACCTCAAAGTCTGCACTGCTTCTGCATCCCATGATTCACTGCATTAGGAGATAGTGCAAATGCCATGGAGAGATCTTTCCACAGGGTGGTTCACATTCCTCTGACACAGCCCCATGCACGCCCAAAGCGCTGTACGTGTTTTGGTGGCTTAGTCATGTTGGCTGCCCTGAATCGATGGAATGACTCCCAGCAAAGCTTTGTCGTGTA